AGTGTGGCAATTGCTGACCCAGTATGTTCCAGTCAGACTCATTTCCCTGAGCATGGACCTTGGTCTTCTTCTGTGTTGTACTTTCAAATCTGAAATTTGAAAACTTCAGATCCATCATTTTTATTGCCTGCCTCTGTTGACTTAGATTCTTCGGTATTTTGAGGGAATTATGTTTGTTGAGAAATCTATAAGTTAATTTTCATGTGTTCATCAAAAGATTTAAGGCACTGATAATACATGAAACTAGGCTTATCTTTCATTAGCTGTCATGAGACTTTAAATTTAAACATTTTTAAGATTTATTGACTTTATGTGTATGAATGTTTTGCTCACGTGTATGCACATGTATCATGTATGTACGTGCATCACATAAATGCCTGGTGCTCTTGGAAGTCAGAAGAGAGTGCTATATCTCATAGGCTGGAGTTTGGAACGGTTGACAGCAATGGTGTAGATTCTGGGAACTGAACCAGGTCATCTGAAAGAGCCACAAGTGCTCTTAACTACTGAGCCATCTCTCCAGCTTCATCAGATTATTTTTTTAATATAAATTTTACTTGTTATTTATTATTTTCAGTGTGTGTGTATATGCCTGTGTGTGTATGAAGACGCATGTGTAAAAGCCAGAAGACAACTTTTTTGGGAGATGATTCTCTTCTCCCACTGTGGATTAAGGAGATTGAATTCATGCGAGCAGGCTCCTATGGAAACCACACATACCTGCTGGCCCATCCTTTGAGATAAGAGCCCATGTAGCTCAGGCTAGTTTTGAACGCCTGATCTTTCTGCCTACAGATCCAAAGTGCTAGGATCACAGGCCTGTGCCACCATGCCCAGATATGTCACCAGATCATTAAAGAAGCTGCTGATTCTGGAAATATTGGAAATGGCTAGCTGGAGGGCATGGGGGTACATGCCTGTAATCCCAGCATGTGAGAGATTGAGGCAGAGGGATTGCTGTGGATTTGAGGCCCATTTCAGCTACATAGTAAGTTTAAGGTAACTTGGATATGTGGTAAAACTTTGTCCACCAAACCAAACCAAACCAAACCAAACCAAACCAAACCAAACCAAACCAAACCAAACCAAACAGGATAGTGCTGATCTGTGCAAACTTGTTCATGGTTTCTGTTACTTATTCCTTATCCTAACCTTGGGAAGTCAGTACTAAACAGATTCTCAGCTCACATGCAAGACTTTCAGGCCCAGGGTATAGGTGCCCGGTTTGGGTAGGAACACTGTCTTGTACCCCAGTACATGCTTGTAGCTGTTCCGTGCTTTCTTCTCCAGCTCCTCAGTCATAGCATGTACTGTCTGAGACACCATATGCTTTTTTCCCCTAATCATACTCTTAGCATCACCTGCAATTTGTGCACACATATGTGCATATGTGTGTGGATATGTATGTACATATGTGCAATATATGTGAGCAGCCGTGCTCACCTGGTGTTCACTTGGAGGCCAAGTTCAACACGAGCATCCTCCTCATTCTTTCTCTACTTTGTTTTTTGAGACAGGATCTTGCAATGAAGCCACAGCTCGATGTTTTGGCTGGACTGACTGGCCAGTGCCTGGCTTCAAATTTTGTGTGTTATTTATGTCATTTCCACCCATCTCTCTCCATCCTCCTAACTCCTCCAGTGTTCTTTTTTTCCTCACTCACTCTTCAAACCCATGACCTCTTCTATAATTATTGCTACTGTCTGTCTCTTTGTCTGTCTGTCTGTCTCTTCCATTTAGTGTTGCTTTTGCATCTATGTGCTTACAGCTGAGCACTTAGGCTTAGACGATCTATCGGGGGTTCATCCCTAGAGAAGATGGGTTACCACCCTCTCAGCAGCCATGGATTGACTGTAGCTCTTGATCTAGGGGTGGGACCTTGTAAACTCTTCTTTAAGTTGTCATGTGGGCTAGTGTTGTCATTATGCAGGTCTTATTCAGATAACCACACTGCTGAGAGTTCATGAGTGCAGCATCCCTGTCTGGTGTAGAGGACACTACATAGCAGCAGGTATCCTGGTCCTCTGGCTCTTGGAATCACTCCACATCCTCTGTCTTCCTTGAGGATCCCTGAGCCTTAGGTATAGGGCTTTCGTCGTAGGTGTGGATTAAGACTGGTACCCTGCTTTCCATATGGGTGTGTTTAGAAAGCACTTTACCCACTGAGACACCTCTTCAGTTCATCTGCAGTGCTTTATTAACTAAAAAAAAAAATCTTGAGAAAGGGGCTTATGTAGCCCAGTTCACTGACCTTGAACTTCCCACCTCACCTCCCAAATGCTTAGGAGGATTACAGGTGTGCTATACTAGCCCAGCTTTTATTGATCTTTTAAAATCGTATTTTTACTTTTATTTTGGCCTAATCTTTCTTTGGGTTTCGGGAAACCATATTCTTTTTGATTTGTCTTAGGACAGGCTCACAGTCACAGCTCAGGCTGGCTTGAAACTGTCTAGCCTCAAGCTAGCCTCACCCTCCTATGGTTGCAGAAAGAAGGCACCAGTTCTGACCCACAACATTCTATAACTCTGTGATGACCATGTGCCTTTCTTTTTAAAGATGAACTCTGGCAAGGCATGGTGGTACATTACCTATATGGTGAACACTTGGGAGGTCGAGGCAGGAGGATGCTCCTGGACATATAACAAGACTTATATCAAGAAAGAAGCAAACCAAAAGAATCCCTGAAAAGAAGTGAATCCTGAGGTTCACTAATGAACCTAATCTAATGAGGAAATCTAATGAACAACGTGAAGCTCTTTCGGTCTATATATTCAGATTTTCTAAATTTCATATACCCATGTAGACAACTGAATAATGAACACCTCCACCATAGCTGCTATTTACTGACTGTTCATCAGTGCCTGGCATGGCCGTCTTCTACAGTATGCCAACATTCTCTCTCCTTTTAGCTTCTCAGTGTTAAAAGTATACACTATTATTCATTGTCTACTTTTCATAGTAAAAGAAACTGAGGTTAGACTTGTGTGACATGAGTTGCTGAATGTGACAAGCTACTGAGTGGCAAAAGTGGGATTTGATCCTGGGTCTGGAGGGAGATCCATCCATCCAGCTCGTCAAGCCACTTGCTTCTTTACTTGGATTGGCAGATTTACTCCGATGCATGTCTGAGCAGTGACAGATGATCCAACGGCACCAGGAAAGCTGGAGAGTGCAGTGTGGCCCTTCTCTGTGCTAGGCTGGAGTTCATATCAGACAGACCTCCCTAGTTCCAGAGCTTCTGGTCAACCCTGCCCTCCCTGGGCCTGGACACAGTGAAGGACAAGGAGAGGTCAGCATCATGCTGGCTTGGGCTTGAGGCTGATTTGGAGCCCAGTGCTCTCTGGGGGGGAGGCAGGGTGCTAGCTACTACTTGGCCAATGCTCATTCTGGAAGGAGGCAGGCAGCTGCCACTACTCCTCAACAGCTCCTCCCTCCCCCCCCCCAACCCTGGGTGACCTCCAGATACCAGAAACTGATGAACTGACTATATCCAAGCAGCACAGGAAATGCCTTTGGTGCCTGTGGTTTCAGATTTCCAAGATCAGAATTATAAGTCGAATCTGTCCAGACATTCGCATGCTAGTGTTTACACTGGGGAACAACCTCAGCGAACCTTGCTACTTCTTGGTGGGATGCAGGATCATGTCTATTTGTGAGGTGAGAAACGAGGTCAGAGGCAGCAAGATGAAGTGCCCGGGGCTGTGCAGAGCTAGGGCTTGACCCCAGACCCTGCTGCTCCAAATTGCTTTGGCTCTACCAGACCTGTGAAGCCCCAGGGTGACTGGGATAGGCCTGGGGAAGGAACGGAAGGGAGAAGGAAGCGAGACAACCAGCCTCTGTCCTCTCTATGTGCCCTTACTCTCTTGTATCAGGATTCTGTATAAGAATAATTTGAAACAAGGTTTGCATTGGCAATAAAGTGTTTTTGGAGGACCCAAGTTATTTCTTCTTCCTTGGGAATAAGGTCTAAGCATCCCCTGCCCCCCCCCCCCCATTAGATTCCATATTCCATGTAAGAACAAGAAGAGGCATTTGGGAGAATGTCATCAGTTGCAGCATGGAAACACACAGTCCTGGAGACACAAGCAAAAGAAGTGTGTAAGTTTAATGAGACTTTGCCAAGTTCTTTTAAAAAAAGAATCATTGCTATCACATTCATGTGTGTGTGTGTGTGTGTTTGCCAAGTTCTTTAAAAAAATCATTGCTATTACATTCGTGTGTGTGTGTCTGTGTGTGTTGCCTTTGCTTTACCTTGTGTGCCCCATAGATCGAACTCAGGTCCTCAGGCTTGGCGGTGAACACCTTTACCTGCTCAGTGGTCTTGCTGGCCCTTGCCAAATTCTTAACCTCAGTCATTCATCTATAAAAACCAGGACCTGACTGAGATAATTCTGGTTCAGCTTATGATACCCGTGTACCTGGGATGTTGTGATTAATTCAGGAGGTCCTAGATAAGGGATCCTAAATTGTCTGCAAATGATGTCGTGTGTGTGTGTGTGTGTGTGTGTGTGTGTGTGTACCTTCTGGGACGGCCTTGTCTATAGTTTTGGTAGTATTGATTCCTGCAAGTTGTCCTTTGGCTTCCACATTGTCTGTGGCACCTGCTCACCTCTTTAGAAATACATAAAATGGGCTGGAGAGATGGCTCAGCGGTTAAGAGCACTGACTACTCTTCCAGAGGTCCTGAGTTCAACTCCCAGCAACTACATGGAGGCTCATGATCATCTGTAATGGGATCTGATGCCCTCTGCTGGTGTGACTGAAGACAGCTACGGTGTACTGTACTCACATAAATAAAAAAAAACTTAAAAATTGTTTTTTTAAAAAAGAAATATGTAAAATAATAAATATAATTGTAATAATAAATATGATAATAGTAACAGTGCCACTAATAATAAAAGTCTAACCCCTCTTGTCTGCCTCAAAAGAAAAGTCCTATTTGGTCAGACCTGAAGGAAGAGGAAACGCAAGGCTCTCCTTCACAAATCACTCAAAGTCGCACAGGAGAAATGATCTTTAATATCTGACTTGTTTTCCGACCCTATCAAAGTGTCAGCATTGACTAGAGAACAGGGAGGGGCTTGAGAGGTACAAAGTCAAGAGACAAACAACACACCTGGACATCACCAGGGGCCACACTCGCTCTGCCCCTGGCACGCTCGTGCGGGCAGGCCTCACACACGCACCACCCATGCAGCCCACACGTACACCGAACAGACACACGCACGTGTACCCACAGATAAATACGTATAGAGGAACTCATTTTATGTATATACAGAGAGAGAAGAGAGAGAGACTTAAGTCCCGGTCTGTGTCGGGGGTGGGGAGCCCCCAGGCTCTCAGCATGCTCAGCCCAGCTCTTCGCTGTACCTGGCACCCATGCCCCTGCCAGAAAAGCAGCTGCCCCTCTCCCCGCCCCCCTCCCCCCTTGACCCCTTGCGACTCTGTGTCTACCCAGGGCTGACACTCCCCCCACGCGCCCTCCCGCCCCCCACGATGGTGTTCTCCCACCCTGATGTGTGTGTGTTGGGGGGTGGATGGAAAGGGACCCTAAAAGTGCCCGGGCGCCAGGGGCATGTTGCTCTTGAAGCCTGGCTGCCCATTGGCCAGGTCGGTCGTGGTGTCGCAGCCCCCGTTGCTGGCTTCGCCTTCGGTGCCTGGACTCTCAGGCTCGCCCAGGAGCTTGAAGGTGAAGAGTGGCCCGGAGTCGAGGCGACCGCGGCGGCCAGAAGGCTCTGGCAGGCTAAGCAGCGCCCCGGGTTTCCACTCCGGGAAGGCGCACAGCTCCACGGGTGGCTGCGTTCCTCGACCCAGGTAGCCCGGGCTGGGCGACGCCGAGGGCAGGGTCCGCTGGCTGCCGCTCATGCAGCTGCCGCTGTCATCCAGAGAGTCCTTCCGTGACTGCGATCTCTCCAGCGAGCCGCCGCGGGTCCACGGCCGGTAGGTGTAAGCGCAGCCGCCTAGACGGCGACGGCGACGGCGGCGGCGGCCACCGCGGCACTGGCACCCAAGGATACGCATGAAGGCGCGCTTGAACTCCTTGCTGGAGCACGGGTAGATGATGGGGTTGAGGCAGCTGTTGAAGTAGCCCAGCCAGAACACCACCTTGAACACGGCGTCCGGGGGTTTTAGGGTGGAGAACAGGGAGCCTGCAGGGGTGCAGACAGAAAGACAGACAGCAGTTGATTAGTACACTCTCTACTCAGTGGCTCTCCTACGTATGCTGTGCTCAGTGCTAGCTTTCCCACCCTCAGGCTTCGTCCCAGGCGATTTTCTATCCTGGATGGCTGCTAGCATTTCTCATTTTGAAGTAAATGAATTACTCGGGCTGGGACAGATATTCATCGGTTACGAGGCCTTGAAGCTTTATCACAAAGACCAGAGTTTGGATTCCAGCACTCCCATGGAAAAATTCCCAATTGTCTGTATCTCCAGCTCTAACGGAGCAGACATTCTCTCCCGGCCTCTGTGAGCACCACACAGACACACATGCATATGCACTCACACAGATACACATATAGACACACATCAAAAAAGATGAACCAGGTATGTTCACTTTTAATCCCAGCATTTGGGAGACAGAGGTATGTGAATCTCTGTGAGTTCAAGGCCAGCCTGGTTCCATAGTGAGTTTCAAGTTTACAAATAAATAAATAAACAAATATATAGGAAAGAAAAATGAATGAATTTCAACTCAGTAACTTCCCTCTGTATATGAAATCTCTCCTGATTTAGATAAACTGCTGCCACCGTCCTGACTGTTAGGTTTCACAGGTCAACACTTACTCCTTCAACCCATGAGATGTGAACAGTCGCTGGTAATAGCATAACTCTTTGGTCTGGGCTGCCTGTGTGAGGTGCTTTACCTTTGTATCTTATCTTTCTCAAAAGCTTGGGAAATTGGAACCGATGTGTTCCCACGGCAAATAGGAGCCATACCGAAGATCAAAAAATGCATAGTGGGCCTTTAACAATGGAAGAAAACAACTTAAAAGACTTGAAGAAAATCTTGGAATGAAGAAAAATGACTTAGTTCTTCAAAAGGACGATTCACAAGGCAAGAATAGAAGTTATTTATATTCTCTCAAGCAGCTAAAAGGTTATTTAGAATATAAGAAAGACTCTAACAAGAAAAAGGAGGTAAGCATATATCTTAGTAGTAGAGGCCTTGTGTGCGAGGCCTTGGGTTCAATTCACTAAGCCAAGCAACATGGAGAAAGGAGACAACAGATCCTAGTTTGGCCTCTGACCTCCATGTCTGCAACACCTCAAATAAATAAAAAAAAACCATTAAGTTAAATTAAAGTATCTATATGGTAGCACATGCCTTTAATCCTAGTACTGAGGGGGGTGAAGCCGGAGGATTGCTATAAATCTGAGGTCATCTTGGAATACATATTTCTAGGCCAGTCTGAGTTTCAGAGTCAGGTGAGAGTCTGTCTAAAAGCAAGCAAATAAACAATCCTCGGCCCCACCAAAATCAACAACAAAAATCTCCCAATCAACCAGGTAATCAGTCAAAGGAGCAAAATATCTCCCTATCTCGAAACCAAAACAAAAATAAGAAATCAAGAAGAACATGGAATTCTCAGTAGCAGTATACTCAGAGGGGGGAAAAACTTAGATGAAGAAAGTAGGTAATTCATGTGAGTGGAGACAAGATACTCGAAGTATCAAACAGTCAAATGCATTGAAGTAGAAGCCATAAAGAGACAAACCATGGCCTTTAAGATGATGGAAAACATTAGAAAGCTGTCAAATAAGGCTGTGGGGACATGAGGCGGCCCTGACTTTGGCTGCCAAGGGCACAGGCTGTCTAGACATTTAGGAGATACCAGCACTACTTGGTTCAACTACATGTGCACACAATTGAGCTGGACAATTTTGTTCCAGGCCAAACCACCCGAAGAGTTTCACATAGGACCATAAGGTGGCATACAGGAGGATGCTTTTGATAGTGTTGTCTGTGGTCACAGAGAATAGGAGAAGGTCTGGGGAAAAGGAGAAAGGAGGCATATGCAAACCTGGATAGCGGCTAGCAATTATGATCCAGGATAACATACCTTACGGCAATATGGAAAGAGTCTAGAGACACCATCCCCCCCCACCATGAGAAAAAATGTAAAACAGAGCAAGATTTAAGAATGATTTCATTTAAGTAATTTGCCCAAACAACCATATGTGTTTTGCAGGAACATTTGCAAATTAAAAAACACATCACAAAATGCTATGCGACACTTAATGCTTGCCCAGGGGTGGAGGCAGATGGACGTGGAATGCGAGACAGGAATAGAAGGAAATAAATCAGTAAATAAGAGAGAGCTTGGCACGGGCTGATGACGACAAGATGCTGTGATTCGTGCACGTGCGAGTGGAGAGTGACCCTCTGAATTTGAGACCCTAAATCATTTCATGGCAATATCAAATTAAAAACAATTTCTAATTTAAATACTAGGCAACTGAGACCTGGAGCGGGTAAGTGGGTTGTCCCTGGCCACACAGCATGCCTGTAATTTAGCAGGTACTGAACCTACATTTTATCTAAATTTATGGTATATTTTTTAAAATTAAAACATGCCATTATTAAATCTCTTTGTAGAAGAATGAGAAGATATTTTTAGAAAGACAAGAAAAGGTAAGTATTTTTAAAAAACAAGCAAAACCTTATAATGCAGAAAAATCACATTGAAACAAAATTATTTTTGAGACAGGATCTTGGTACCTAGTCAGGCTGGATTCAAACATGCAATCCTCTTAGCTATCCATTTTCAGGATTTTCTATTGTGTTTATTTATTTACATATTTAACATGACTATAGTTTCCGACCATTCTGTACTTTCAGTGTGGGCTCTAACCCCACTACCCAGCCTGTGGCATATGGTCTTTCATGTTCCATCTTCTGTGCCCTGCCACACTGTGGGCCTGCCCTCTGGATAATCTAATAATCTTTAAGTCTAAGTTGTTGAATGGATAGAGTACTTTCAAGTGATGTGGCTGCTTCTAGAATCCCCATCCTTGGGCTGGTGGGATGACTTAACGGTTAAGGCTGTTTACTGCCAAGTCTGATAACCTGAGTTTCTTCTTTAGGGTTCACAAGCATGAAGGAGAAGACCAATTCCTAAAAATTGTCCTCTGGCCTCCACTTGCATTCTGGGCACCACTATCAAAAAAAAACAAACAAAATGCAGAAAAAAAAAGCAACCCATCTTTAAGGTTAGGTTGTACTTGCATTCCTTCTAGGGACACTTAATCTTCTTGGTCATTTGATGTAAAGTAACTCTTTTTGTTTTGTTTTGTTTTGTTTTGTTTTAGTTTTGAGACAGGGTTTCTCTGTGTAGCCCTGGCTGTCCTGGAACTCACTCTGTAGACCAGGCTGGCCTCAAATTCAGAAATCTGCCTGCCTCTGCCTCCCAAGTGCTGGGATTAAAGGCGTGTGCCACCACTGCCCAGCATGTAAAAGTAACTCTTATTCTCCTGTAGTAATTGTTCTCTCTGAGGCTTACTGCCTCAGTCTGTAAACCTAGGCCGAGTCCTGAAAGCTTCTAGCCTCGGTACAATCTTATCTAGCCGAGAATGTTTTCAGCCTCTGAGATTTGCTGCTGAGTAAATTTCCCCTTCCTAGTTCTTTCTGAACCGGGGCTGGCTGATCCAGCTCAGCTGTTCTATCTACAACTCCTCTCCAAGCTGATTCAGTGGGGAAAGATCAAGAGCAACACAGCCTGTTTCCTGAGGATAAACATATAACCTTGCCTGGTGTCAAGCCTGTTGAAGATGGCAGTGAATTGAGCAACAAATGGATTGTTCTTTTTCAGGACTACACAGAGCACAATACCGTTAAGGGCTAGTGTTCACCAAAGCCATCATCCGCATTGTGAGTGTTGTGTTCATGGCCCTGTGCTGAAACTGTTACAAAGCACCCTCCTATGACCATGGCCTTTTAAAGTCTAGGCAAAGACCTGAAGATGGATTTTCTCATGCAAATCTGTAGTCTTGTGCCGTTCATTCCTGTGAGTAGAAGGCATTCTTTCCTCTCAAGACAATTGGCAGAGAGAAGACTAGAGGGCTGAATTCAGATGACCTGGCCTGGTGTTAGGAATTGGCTGTTGGGCTTTAGAAGTGTTAATGAAGATTCCTAGTTTCTCATCTATAAAATGGGAACAGTGACTGTTTCACAGATTTTTTTTTTTTGAGTACATGAGAGTATCTATGTACACAGGGTGTGGTGACACATATTGAAAATTCCAGCTCTTGGGAGGTAGAAATAGGAGGAGTAGGAGCTCAAGGTCATTGTCAGCTACATATTCAATTTCAAGGTCATTCTGGGCCACAGGAAACCCTGTTTCAAAGCATCATCAACAACAAAAATAAAACAGAAATCATAAATAGGAAGAAATAAATGAGAAAATAGAAGGAAAGAAAATATCCATGTAAAACCCTCAATATACAATCTGGCACTTTAAAACTATAAACAAATGACGGTCATTTTGAAATGATCCTGTTCCTCATATCAGCAGGAGGAGGGTTCCAGCTCCTTTAAATATACAAATCTGTGGCTTTATGCTTCTACAAAATGGCTCGAGATTTTCATGTGACCTACCTGTAGCCTCCCATGCATTTTGCATCATCCTTAGGTGACTGATGAAATCAATAACTCATAATATCTAGTTATGATATAAATGACACATAAAGGGCTATTATACTGCATAGAGTGTGGTGGAACAGCAAAGAAAAAGTTGCATCTCTCGCATACAGTTGCAACTTTTACCCTCAAGTATCTATGTAAATTTATTTATTTGTTTATTTCTGTGTTAGGGGCCACATGCCAAGGAGTAGGTACACAGTTCGAAGGACACCTTTGGGGGAGGGTCAGCTATCTCCTTCTACGTGGATCTGGGGTACTGAACTCCTGTAATCATGCTTGGTGGTAAGCCCTTTTGCCCACGGAACCATCTTTTTGCTCTTCTCTTAATGTTTTGAATTCAGAGTGGGTTAAACTCTTGGATGAAGAAGTGGAGGATACAGAGGACCAACACAGTCTTCAGCCTCCACCAAGAACTCTGCTCTGATCCACCTTGGCCGAGTCAGTGTGGTTTCTTCATCCTGCACCCCGACAACACACAGGCAGCTCCCATTTTGCCACTGAGTTGCT